CGTTCCAGCTGTGAAGAGCACGGGGTGCCCTGTGGAGCTGGGCCTGGTGTCTGTGGAACAGGGTGTGGGTGTGAGGGGTGGGAAGGCAGGGTCCCACTCCCAGGCTGGGGTCCGGGGAGCTGGTACACGCTGGGCCTGCCCCAGGCTGCGGTGGGTTCTGCAGAGGTTGAGGGGCTGCTGCTGCTCCGGGGGTTGGTTTTCTCCCCGCTGACAGGTGAATTGTACGTGCTCAGGGAGGACCTGGCTCCCCAAGAAGAGCAGAGACTATGACAGGCCTGTTGATGCTGTCAGGGTGGTGGAAAGCCTTAGGAAACTACCAGGTTTTCAGAAATGCCTCTTATAACTTACATTATAGCATTTAGCAGCACCACACAACTTACCAAAGGAGTGTGTGATGGGTTTTAGGCCAGATTTTCTTAAAAAATGGTAATAAAGTGTCCAGATTTCTTAACTTTAAGATAACACAAAAGAGGCCTTGATGAAAATGGATTAGGTACCCCAGCTAGCTGTTGTGTGGCCTTCCTTACCAGTTGCATTTCAAATGACATCATTAGTCATGTGCTGATGGGCAAGTAGTCAGTAGTTTGAGACTACCACCATGCTGCTGTCATTCGCGATGTATACAGGGACTGTCTTGCCACGAACCCCTATCCAGGCAGCATAAGCTGCAGAGCAGGAGCCATGCCCCGAGTTTTAATGTTGTTTAGGTCTTCTGCGTTTTGTCCGGTCATTCACATGAAGAACAGCAGTCTTCCCCAAAGTACGAGTGTTTTTTCCAGGTAGCAGGTTACTCAAAGGCCATGGGTCAAGCCTGCCATGCTTTGTGTCCTGATCCTTGGTTCACACTTGTATGTGTGTGTTTGTGATCCCATTTCTGCTCATGCAAAACTGGCATCTGGCTGATCTGAGAGTTATGTGACTGTTTGCTTTTGGAGTAAGTAGCTCAGGGAGGGAAGGACAGAGGAATGGTTGGAGAGAGAAGTTGTGGGGATCTTGTGCTCCTAAAAAATGTAGTATTGTGGTAAGAGAGAGAAGGAGCAACCTGAAAAATCCCTGTGTATTTAATTGTGAGAAAACAGACTAAACCTTCAACAGCTCTCTTGTTTTTTCTGCTTGTAAAGAAAAAAATGCTTTAAGCAAGAAGAAGCAAAAGACACATTTGGAAGGTGAAGGAAACTGTTAAAGAGAAAAAAAGGAAGCTAGTACACATATTCACTCGAAAATAAGTAACATGAGAGGCAACAGAAATGCAGTAAGATCAGATATGTAACAGGAAGTGTGACAGTCCTTTGTGAAAACGATAAAAAACAGAGCTAGAGAAAGAGAAGCAACATAAACACGTTATTTTAAAAAACATTCCAGGTTACTGCATTTAAGTGAGCATAATGGTTGAGTTACTCCTGTATATAATTTTGAACAGTCCTGCTTCTTGAGATAGGTAATGAGCTGCTGCTATAGATGTAGTTTTGTTTAGGATGCTAGAAGTGAGTAACAGTGCCAACCATTGTAATTATGTTGTAATAAATCCTCTGACAAGACTCATGCATGGACGAGTATGGTTGCAGATTGGCCGTGTGCATGAAAGAAAGGAGTAGGCAAAACTGCTTAGTATTTTCATCTCGGCTTCAATGTATTGAAGGGTAATAGTGGTGGTTATTATGGATGTGACTGCAGTTCTGTTGCCTTTCTGGTCTCAGGAGTCCAGTCCTTGAGGTAAGTGGTGTACTGCTCATAGGTGTCTGGCTGAAATGTTGTTCTGCTTTCCCTAGAGCCTGGGTTTGGCAGCTGGGTCCTGAGTACACTAACTGTTTTTCAGGTCGGAGCACCTTGAAACTGCTCTCCCCATCTCATTTAACACAACTTCTTCAAAATCCAATGCATAAATTACATAAGGGGATATACATCAATAATCGTTACTGAATGATGTGCATCCATCACCAGTATAAAAGCAAGCAGACTAACAGGGATGCTATGAGTGTTGGAGGCCATTTCTGCCATTCTTTATGTGGAACAAATGTACAGGGCTACACAGAAGGGTCTGGTCCAGACCATTCATCACATCTGTGAAAAGTCCACAGCTGATGGTTAGAAAGATTTTCCTCCTGCTGGATGTTCTCTGCAAGCTTCTGTCAGTCTGCTGCCTTGAAGACAGCTTAAATTGTATTTTGAATGCTGAATGGTTCTCATAGCTTTAGCAGAACTGCACAAAAAGTAAAAATGTCATTGCTGTGTTTTATGTCCTGACATCTATTTTGCATTTTTCTCATTTGTGAGAGTTGGCAAATTTTCCAAATTATTGTGATGTCTGAAAGCAAAGGTGATAAATTTCAGTGCCCTAAAGGGGAGATGGTGGATGTTGTTGACAGACTGAAAAATGAGGACCTTTGAGACCTGGTGGTTTCAAGCATGAATCTTAGGGCAAGTTTTGCACTAACACAATGGTAGGATGAGAATAACTCTTGAACTACTTAGCTGGAGAGAGAGGTCCGTGTGCTAGAATTCACACCATAGTATTTGCCTTTCCTGGACAACAGTTTTTGATGTTAAAGAGTAACGTGTCTCGGACATCACTTGCTTAGTTGGCAACTAGGGAATTGCTTTAGAAAATGGGAGATGACAAACATCATCTTCATGGAGGTCACAGCACCTGTGATCTTCCAGAAGACAGTTGATCTATCTTTTTACCTGAATGCCGTGTTGTTAAAAGAAGTATTTAAAAGTGAAATCATAAAAGAGGGGGGAAAAAAGGACCTCTTGGAAGCCAAACTGAATATTGCACTGAGAAAATAAAAGTAGGCCTAAACACTGCCATCCTAGCTAAAAATTATGAATTCTGTTTTTTTTAATGGGAGATACTGTGTTCTTTTCCTCCCCTTGCCCATTTTGCATACATCCTTAGGGTCCCAAATATGTTTTGAACTGCTTGTCTGTCTGCACAGGCTTTCAGCATACCCTGAAGACATTTCACTTGTCAGCTACAGTGAGAAGCCTTCCTGTAAATATTTGCATTTCTGGGAGGCAACAGCTACTTGGAAAAGTGATCAGCAGCTGTAGCAGTAGTACTGATGTCACAGGTGGACATGCTGAAACAACATGAAAACCAGGCTCACTTCTGTTATTTGAGCTTTGTGGGAATGAAAAAGGTGGAATCCTGGTATGTGACTGAAAAATTTAATACAAAGTTTGTTTAGCGTTTTTTTTGCATCTTAGCTGGGAATGAGGGCATCTTTCTTATTCCCTGGCAATTTAGTCAAGCGGCTGTATAGAAAGTGTGATCACAAACCATGCAGATGTGACTCTCATTGAAGTCGCATATGGCTACTTTAGGACTGAGTTTGATCCTATTGCTAGTTACATGAGTGTTTTTGTTTTTCTGTTCTTCCCGAGGCTACAAGCAAAAACCTCACAGAATTGTTGAGAGGATCTCATTGTATGAGATTTTTGTGTTAGATCCTCTTTGGTTAAGTGTTCTGAAATTGTGTTGTATGTATCCTCAAAAGGAAGCATTCACTTGTATTTGAACTTTCCAGCACCTGAGTTCAGTCTCTCTAGCAACAACTGAGACAATGGCTCTTTATTTTTGCAAGGTAAATATTCAAGCCTGAGGAGTCTCAGGTTTTGGTAGGTAGGCAATGATGTATGCTGTTAGTTTTTTGTTGGGTCTTTTTTTTAAAGTTGTGGAAGCTTAAATTTTGCAGTGGGGCTTTCACAGATACTCAGTGTCAGCTCCAGTGCTCCCTTGGGTGCATTGCCCATCAGAAGTTGGACATGCAGCAAAAGATGTAGCTTAAAATTATACATTTCTCTTAATGGCTTTGTAATTGGTTTCCTTATTTTGCATCTTAACCTTTAACGATAAAAAATAATTTGTTAGGATCACATTTCTAAAATCAAGCTAAGAAGTGCTCAGATCACTCCAGCGTGCTTAGAAGCTGTGTCAGGTAGGGCAGACACCATGTGTTTGTAATACTGTGCTGTATCCTCATCCTCTCTCTGCTTGGATTCGGTCAGTACCTGTGGTTTCTTTGCACATTAAATCTGTGGTTTCAGTTGTTTGGACAACCCTTCCTCTGTCCCTGGGGAAGTCCTGTCTTTAAGGCTTACCTGCAGGGGTGCAGCTACAGGTAGTAGGCACTGCTGCAAGGAAACCCTTTTTACTATTTATGTGGATAGTGCTTTGCATGATGGAAATAAAAAAAATCTTCCAGAATCCACGGTTGAAACTTTGCTGACAATGAAAGTGACAAGATAAAAAGAGACTTTAATATATTAAAATATTTTGTCAGGTTAAGCTTAGTCTTCTGGCTCTGTAGCTTCCAGCCTGTTATTCATGTAGGCTGGGCAAGGGAGGAGTCCATGTTACATGTCAGGAGCTGACTGGCAATAACTAAGAATACTGTTAATGTTGCAGCTTGGTTCATCTGCTGACTGGCTACCACCAAGAGGGGAGCTTTCTTCATTCTCACTTCCTTTCCTACAGTGAGCCATCTTGCAAATTTAAATTGAAAAATAAACTACACGTTAAAAAAAATGGGGGTTTTGCTGGTCTGACTCTCTGAGCAGTCAGTCAGAAAGACAGTGCTATTGCCAGCATAAGGAGGAGACTGGGAATGTGTACATGGGGGTAAAGGAGGAAGGAAGCCTCCTTTTGGTGGCAGCCGATGGTTATATTGCCCCAGCCTTAACATTGGTTAAAAACCCAGCCAAAAGGACAAAAAGTAAGAAGAGAGATCTACTGCTATGTTTTGTGATGCAATTAGAGTTTTTTGTCATTTTGGTTATGGCAGGTGTTTGTCTAAATTGGAACAAAAATAATTAATGTGTCAATCTTTCCTCTTTCAAACAGGAAGCAGCAGCTTTGTATGGCTCATGTCTGACAACATGCACCACCAGTGGCTGCTGCTAGCTGCATGCTTTTGGGTGATATTCATGTTCATGGTTGCTAGCAAGTTTATCACATTGACTTTTAAAGACCCAGATGGTAAGTTCAACTTTAATGTGAAACACAAAATTGAATAGCGCTTCACACAAATACTCTTTCTGTGCAAAGTAGTTCTTGGCATGTTACCAACAACTAGATTTCTTGAAGTGGGAGCGCTTATACTCAGTTTCTGCTTTTCTTGGTCTGCAGAACTAAGATCACGGGGGGGTTTTTTGGTGGTTGAGAACAGAGAGGATCATGTTTGGCATCACTTGTCTTGTGAGGTCCACTTTTTCAAATACACTCAGTTTCAGTATGTTGATCTACTAGGAGTAGAAGTCATGTGCAGAACAGTGGAGCACAATTACCTGTTTAAAGACGAAGGAGCTTCACAAGGAATTAAGAGTTCATTTCACATCATACTAGTTTCTGTCCTCGAGTGACTGCTTGTCCTCTGGCTGCAGTATTATGTAAAGCTTATGGAAAGTTTTATTTCATTTGCAATGCACTTAGCCTAGCCACCTCTGCCCTGCTTCTTGCATTCAGTTTTATCCTCTGCTGTTTGACTGAAAAACGGCTTATAGGCTTTTGCTTTGCTTAAGTAGCCCAGATGGTATTAAGCTGATGAGGAATTTAAGCCATTTGATGACACCACACAGCATGTTACAGTTTTCTCTCTGCTGAGGAGCTACTGTTACAGAGCCATCCTATAGAGAGTTTAGCGTGAAGGTGATGACATGACTTACAGTCCTGAGAGATCTATATTTCTGCATCTTCCTAAGATAGGCAAAATGTGTAACTTTTGAAGCACTGACATTAGTAGTGCCATTTGTTTCAGTGACTTGGTATTGGATAAATATATTATGTGTACCTTTTAAAATTGCATACTTGTGTGTGGAGATTTATTCAGCAAGTCTCACAGATGAGATCTGTAGGCTAACTTAGCTTTCCTTGGTCCCAGCTGTTTTTGAGCCCTAGTACATCTGCAGATAAGCTGCTCTTATGTTAGGTAGTTAAATCTTCCAGTATTTCATTCTTTGCCAACTCTTGTTTCCCAGCTCAGGTATTCTTTGAGTGGTTCTTTCCATCAGAATTTGTCAAGTCTATTAAAGTGTAGTTTAAAAAAAACCAACCAAACAAACAAACAACAAACTAGAGTCCACCCTTTGTATTTACTTGCTTTTTATTATCTTGCCTTGCCAGTTTTCCTCCTTTTTTTTTTTTTTTTTTTTGTTTTGTTTCTATGCTGAATCGTCCTTCCCCTTTGAATAGTTCTCTAAGCAGAAGACTGTATAATTTCTTAAGCTCTGGTCCTGCAAAGGCATAACTGTGGTTAAGTGTATGTATGTGTTGGAGATACCATTGTTTGTACTGGGACTAATGAAGGGAAGTAATATGAATATACCAACAGAGTTTTGGAGAATGTCTGAACAGGATGGCCAGTCCTGGAGGAACTCTTCTAGGCTTAATGAAATATGGCTTGTTAGCAATTTTCCTTGTTTGGATGTGTCTGTTTAGCAGGTAGAACAAAACCAGCAGTTGCTCAATGAATCAGTGTTCTTTTCTTTAAGCCTTTTACTGATGTCTTGGGTGCACAAGCAATAGGAACTTCTTAATGAGAAGAAGCAAGTTTCTGTCCATCATATATAGTAGCATCTGCAGGCATGCTTTTACCCAGTGATAATGAAAGGTACTTTAATTGCACTTTCACTGAACCAAATTACTTTGATCTTACAAAATACTGTGAAGTAAGTCTGTGCACAACAATATTTACTGTAGCTGATTGCTTGGATGCTTACCTTATTTTCAGTTTTAACTTGCTTTTCCATGCATGCCCTTTGTTAAAATCCAGTGTAGGCAGAGTAGAGCACTCCCTTAAGAAAAGGACATAGGCAGTACACACATTTTCTGAACCATAAAATAGTAAGAGAGTGTGGATGCAGGTGAAGAAAGATTATTCATAGAAGAAACTGAATGAAGGGAAGAGTAGTCCAATATAGATGAAAATACACTTGCAGGGAGAAATCATATTCTTTTTGCTTTGTGATTAAGGAAAGCTTCTTCAAGTTATTTTTGATCTTTCTGCACCATGTAAAGTAAAGTTATGGCCTCTAGTTATTTTTCAGTTTTTCTGTAGCATACCGATTGCAAAAGACGCAGACGGGTTCCTTACATATTCTGATTTGGTCTCAAAGTATTAGCTGCCCTAAAATCATTAAAAAAGAATAAGAGTATCAGCTGAGTTTGTTCTTTTGCAGTGAGAGTCTCTAAGGCAGGCCATCAGTCCAGTAATAAAGGAAGAAGGGATCTTGTATTTATTGCTGGTTAGAGGTGTTTACTCAGAGCACCTAGGAAACAAAAGGTGGTCCTTAATGACACTTTTCTTCTGGTAATGTCTAAGAGTTTACAACAGAAGAAACGTATTGACTAATATGAGGAGAGGAAGAAACCTGATAGATAAAAGTTTGTTATTTGGACATGATTTAGGAAGTTTATTGAAAAATAAAAATCTCATACTATGAAGTCCACATAGTTATAATCAGTTGCCTACCAATCATGGTATTTGGATTTATGATTTCTATGTCTCTTTGCACAGTTTTTTTTTAAAAAGACAAAAAAAAAAAAAAAGATCGTGGACATGTTTCTTTGCTAAAACTCAACTGAAATTGCATCCAAAATTCCCACAGAGTACATTGTTTAAAATTTTCACAGTCTGTCTCATGTCTTGTCTAGTACCTTCCCATTTGGAAACAAATCCTAATATTTTGTAAGCTTAGTACAGAAAGTGATGTTCAGTTGTCTTAGTTATAAAGCAGAAGTAGTTGCCTTCCCCCCACCTTCTGTAATGCTCTTATCTATCTTACTTCTTTAGGCTACAGTGCCAAGCAAGAGCCACTGATACTGACAGCTGTGACAAAATTGGAGGAGGTACGTGTGCCAGAGGAAAAACATTGGCCTGAAGAATTCCAGGTGCGCACTGTTGAGATAAGGATTACATGTATTAAAGAGTGGGAGAAAATAAGAGATTAAGTAAGGGCTTCCTGTTGTTAAAAGGAATTGCTAGACAGGAATTATTTATTCAGACTCTTCTATTTAGATAAAGCCAACAGAATTCATTTTAGCTTCACAAAGCTGGTTTGTTATGGTAACCTGCTGTCTTGTTTCATCTGAATGATTCAACTTAATGTGTTTCCATTTCTAGGAGAAAATTGTTGCAGTACTCCTTTATCAAGTCAGGACAGTAATTTTTGCTAGCCTTTTTAATAAAATGGCCCAATTTTGGATTATTTGTATTCTGCCTTGCCATAGCCATTAGGTTTGTGGTTCTTGACAGCAAGACTATGTCTTCTCTATTCTCTTAGTTCTGTGCCCCATCTCTCTGATTCTTTTTATCAGTCTCCATTCCTTTTTCATGTTTTGTGCTTCCCATCTCAGCATTTTTCCAAAGTAGATCATCAACACAATAATATTCAATAGCAGTTGATCCTTTAGAAGCATAGTTCTGTGCTTTCAGCAATAAAGCAGAACAAATGTGGTTGCTTCACTGCAGAGTTTGTTCACTGGAAACTCTGAAAATACCTTATGCAAATGTAAATTTGAGACTAGTTGCACAGAGGGCTAAAGCCAGTTTTTTTCCATTGGTTACGTAAGTCGTGTTTAAAGTATTTTTGTGATGCAACATGGAAGGTAGATTTCTGTATAAACTTGACACTTTTTATTTTTGCATGTAAAAAACCTGAAATTTAAGTTATCCTCAAAATACTTGGGAGCAACACTTTTCAGTGGAAAGCTTGCAGATTTGTGTAGTGAGTTTTAATATCTTCCTTTACTTGTATGAAAGAGGATAATAAGGTTTCTGGATCTAAAACTATCCCCTCTTGACTTCCTGACAGCATGAAATGCATAACAATAATATTAATCCTGGTTGAATGCAAAAGGAATTGTTTTGACAGATAAGGAATCTGTGAGGATATTCAGATTACATTCTGTCCAGGAGATATTGGAGAAGAGTAACAATCAGAAAAATCAGAATGTGATTCTTTTTGTCCTTATGGAAGGCTGGGACAAAAAGTAAAATCATTCCTTTTTCATGTGTAACTTGGACACTGTAACTAGAATCATAGAATCACAGAACGGTTTGAGTTGGAAGGGACATCTGAAGATCATCTCGCTCAACCCCCCTGTCATGTGCAGGGACACCTCCCTCTAGACCAGGTTGCTCAAAGCCCTATTCAACCTGGCCTTGAACACCTCCAGGGATGGGGTGTCCACATCTTCTCTGGGCAACCTGTTCCAGTGTCTCACCACCCTCATAGTAAAAAATTTCTTCCTTATATCTAATCTAAACCCATCCCCTTTCAGTTTAAAACCATTACCCTTTGTCATGTCACTTCAGGCCCTGGTAAAAAGTCTCCCTCTGCGTTTCTCATAAGCCCCCTTTAAGCAGTTGTGGTTTATAAAACCGCCGGGACAGTTTTCTAAACACCTGGTGGGCTGAGGCAGGGAACTGGGAGGGTTTTCACTCAACACTTAGGGTAACCGGCAAGAGACCGACAGGACTCATGAAGAACAATAAAACAACTGAATTTATTACACACACATCTTACACAAAAGGCACTTCTCCCCCACCCCTCCCTTCGTCCCAAAGCCCAAAGGCTTTGTTCTGTACCTTCTTCCCCCACCCGGCGGCACATGGCGGGGGGAAAGTGGGGGAAGGCTCAGTCAGCTCGCTGCTCTTTTCTTCCTCACAGTCTCCCAGCTGCCATGTAGTTTCAGACAGGCTTCAGTCCCTGGCGACTCCCCCAACTCTGTGAGGCTTGATCCTCCATGGCTGCTTCTTCTCTTCACCACGTGGCAGGGGAAATGCTTTCTCTTCTCTAGGCTGAACAACCTGAACTCGGTCAGCTTTTCTCCATAGGAGAGGTGCTCCAGCCCTCTGACCATTTTCACGGCTCTCCTCTGGACTCACTCCAACAGGTCCGTGTCCTCCTTATGTTGGGGGCCCCAGAGCTGGACACAGTACTCCAGGTGGGGTCTCACAAGAGTGGAGTTGAGGGTGAGAATCACCTCCCTTGATCCACTGGTCACACTTCTTTTGATGCAGCCCAAGATACAGTTGGCTTTCTGGGCTGCAAGCACACATTCCCGGCACGTATCGAATTTTTCATTCATCAATATGCCCAAGTCCTTCTCTTCAGGGCTGCTCTCAATCAGTACATCACCTAGTCTGTACTGATATTTGGGATTGCCAGCTGTGTAAAAAAATCAGTTAGCAGAAGGGGGAAGATTTGCCTGTAGAAATTTAAAATTTCTCATCACCTGTTAATCAGACAAGCTCCTTTTTCCTGTCTCTGCACTAATCGTGAGGCAGAGGTGGTCGTGGTCCCTGTCTTAGTCTCAGAAAAATGAGGCATCAAACAGTTCATCCATTTCTGGGGAGAAAAATCCTGCCTAGGTCTTTAATTTGCCAAACTAGGCACTGTTGCTCATTGTGTGAATTTCTGTCCACTCGATTTTGTTGTCAGTTGGATAAATGGAAACACTGAATGCCTACAGGTGCTAGAAAACACCACAGGATTTTTATCCTAAATTCTTCTTTCCCAGCCAGATGGGTCAGCATCCCTAACCCCCAACTTCTCAGAGATTAAAGCTTAATTTCCATTGAAATTCCTGTCCCAACCCCTCAGAAGATTTCTTACTTGCATTTGAAGCTTTGTGGGAGTTCCAGTATTTAGTCAGGGTGTATTGTATCTACACAGATAAAACACTGCTGCTCTGCAGCAGACTTTAATTGTTGTATGGAAAAGCTCTTACTACTGTCTACTACTACGTAGTGACTTAAGAGTTGAACCAGCATATACAGCAGCAGCACAGGAAGGAAACTGTGCAACTCCTTTAGTTAATGCATAGCAATGTTTTAATCATGAATCTGGGAGTCATTAGGATGCACAGTTTCGGGATTTTTATACTTTAGAATTTGATCTGAAAATTAAATTCTTGCACTTTTTTTTTTTTCTTTCCCCTCTCCATTTCATAAAGCCAACTGGAAAAGCTTTTTCTGCAAATCTGATCCGCCAGCCCCTGGTTCATATGGAAAGATTTGAGCTTCTCAGGAATGTCTGCAGAGACACTGCGTTGAGAAATCTCTCTCACACTGCAGTTTCCAAATTCGTCTTGGACCGAATATTTGTGTGTGACAAGCACAAGATCCTGTTTTGTCAGACGCCAAAAGTGGGCAACACTCAGTGGAAAAAAGTCTTGATCGTTTTAAATGGTATCTACTCTGCTGTGGGTGTGTGAGTTTCTTTGATGAGGAGGAAAGAACAGAATTGGTCCAACTGGGACAACACAAAAATGGATTCTTTCTGCTTTTCTGTGCACTGATACTTAATTTCAGCCTTTTGTTCTTCACAGTTGCTTCTAATAATTTCAAAACATCTCTTCTAAAGAAAATAAACCTGTTATTTCTGTGCAAATAAATATTGTTGTTGCTTGGCTCAAAAGTGATTTGAGTCATGAAAAAGTACCCATGTGCACGTGGTAGGCAGATTTGTTATCTTTGGAGGGGTGGCCCTAATTTGTAGAATTTGAAATAGGTAAATTACAAGGTATCACAATCCCCTAAGAAACAATAATATAAAAATTCTGCCTTGAAGCCACTGACCTTTAACTAGGGCTTTTTATCCCTGAAGAAAGCTAGTTAACACTTGGCAGCTGCCGTTGGTCTGTGCTGCTGAAATCGTGTGTACGTGCTATCAGTGAGCCATCATAGGAGTTATGAAGATTCTGAGGTGCTTAAGGCAGTAGTTTGGTCAACAAAGGTATATTACAAAAGACTGTAAAAGAAGGAGTACAGGGACTAGTGTGTTTGAATAATGGTCTACAAAGGGAACACTGCAGGCTACCATCCTCTTTAGAAGCCTGATACACCAATAAAAAGAACTAATTTCCTCAGGGTTTTCTGTTGTACCACTACCTGCACACATAAACTTAACTTGATCATATTTACCATAACGCACCTTTGTTCTTGTAGCAGGTGGTACTCTGAAATAACGCTGTTTTGTGAAGGCTTATGCCTAAAGCCCAAGGCGTCCACATGAGATATTTCTTAAGGTCATAAAAACTTCCAGGATCAGGTTCTTAAAATAAATGCACCAGAATTTAGTGACATAGTTTTCCTTGTCAGCTTATGTGCTTGAAGAAATCTGGAGGCTTTCTATTGTTAGTTTTAGTACTTTTTAATCTGTGTAGTATTGGAATTTTTGTTTCAGACAGTGCAGTTGTTAAAATAACTTCATGGAGCCTGTCAGTAAAGTGCTTTGGGGTTGAAGCAGTTCCAAAAGCAGCCCACAGCATTTATTTTTTGTTTGTGGTAGAAACTCAGCCAAAAAGCTGGTTCCTTCTTTGAAGTTAATCCTCAAAGTCTTCCTCCATGGCAGACGGAAAAGTCTTCCTGGGCAGAGGGA